CCTAATTTAGCAGTGATAGACTAGAGGGAAGGCAGCTAGTCATCACCATCCACCGCCAACTCTTGGGCTACTCTTTTACCAACGAATAGTGGGATTGACCGTCACATTATAACGCCCCCACAGCTGAAAGGGCGAGCATGTTCGGTGTGGCGGGGATTCGAACCCGCGACCCTCAGATTGCGAGTCGAGCGCCTTAACCACCTGGCCATTAATTTTATCGACTCCATACGATGACGTGAAAGTCAGTGCACTTTTTTAACAGGCACAGATGTTGGTATATTTTTGTAATAGTTTCGGACGTTATCAAGTAAAACAGCTACACTTTTGAGACACATATTCCCCTCCATCCTTTCCAGCCAAAACATAATATAGTTATAAATGTGAGTACAATACAATAAGTCGACTGTATTTGGGTTTTATTGGACGTTTTTGTTACTGAAGCATTCTCGTGTGGGGGATGAAAAATCATCTAATGGTTGGAATGGCAAAACCATCCTGGACCCATAAGGTTATTATAGACGTGATGGTTTGTTTGTTTCAGAATTTCGCGCAAAACTATTCGAGGGTTACCTGCGCTAGTCGTCCCTCATTTTGAAGTGATGGACTAGAAGGAAGATAGTTAGTCGACACCACCTACGGCCAACCCTTGGGCTACTATTTACAAACGAAAAGTGGGATCAATCGTCACATTATAACTCCCCCACGGTTGAAAAGGCTTGAGCACTTTCGGTGACGGGGTTACCGATTGATAGTGATTTTAAATTTAGCGTAAAGTTACACGAGGGCTATCTGTGCTGGCCGTTCCTAATGTAGCAGAAACCACCCACCGCTGCCTCTTGGGCTGCTTATTTACCATCGAATAGTGGGATTGATCGTCACATTGTAACTCCTCCAAGACTGAAAGGGCGAGCATGTTTGGCGGGACAGAAATTCGAAGCCGCAGGTTGCGAGTCGAGCGCCATAACCACTTGGCCATACCAATTCTGTCGTTGAGCACCAAAAATACAAGTAAGATATGTCTTATGGTACATGAGACTTAAACTGATTAAGCACGATCCACTCATGGGTATGTGTGTCATCCTACACCATAGCAATCCCACTAATGATTTTAACCGCATCATATTTATGAAACAATATGGGTTTCCAATAAGAATAATAAACGTTTGTTTGTTTTTTGAATTTCGCGTAAAGCTATACGAGGGCTATATGCGCTAGCCGTTCCTAATTTAGCAGTGTAAGACTTAGAGGGAAG